ATATATTTTTTGTTTAATGTGTGAAATCAGTCACATATTATGAAATTATATGGTATAAGGTTATAATAATGTTTTGTGGAGAAATAAAAATATTGACCGATAAGAGTAATGTATAATAAATAAGAATATTGACTAATTTATTGTTAGAGAAATATAAGGTAAGTTATATGATATAATGTTATTGTACAATATTGTTAGAAAAATATAAGGAAAGATAAAAAAAAAATGTTAGTATAATGAAATGGTCCAAACAACTTTTTTAAGTAGATTTATTTAGACTCCTTCTCTTTTAATAGTATAGATATATACCTTTTTACTACGTATCAATCATAACGTCTTTGATATCTTCTCTCCGATCATGGAGTACTAGGTCGATGAGATTTTAACAATATCTTTTCCATATCACTAGTAAGCCGTAACTGTAACTACGACAACGTGTAAATTACAGTGCATGGAAGAGACTCATTCATTCTTGTCCAACCGCCGTAGTTCTCTGTTAAAGCTTACCTGAAACGGCATTTTAAACCAAACGAAAATTTAAGGATGGAGTTTAAAAATATGTATTCTCGCAACGTGTAGTCGTCGTGTACACTACGGTTTCTATGGAAGTTAAATAGGTGAACATAGTAGCGCTGTCACACTGTTGTGAGTGTTCTCATTGTGAGGTGGCTGAGATATTTAATGGCTAACTAATTATCTCTCCACATCCAACTACTTTAACCACCTCATCCATGCCTCACCTACTTCCTTTTCTATTTACTCCGTTTATCCAACATATTATCCATTAATATACATATTTGTCGACAAAAAAAAAAAAAATACATATTTGTCGACAAAAAAGACTGTTAAATGCTACATAGTAAGCGGCTTGTGTTGGGCTAGGTCCGGTAATAATATTTAGACTTGAATTACCATTGTATTAACTTTGATACGATTTTATATGACAAAATATACTCTATTAGTATGAATTTGGAACTTTGGATGATATCAAATACAAAAAAAAAAAAGTTAATTCATTTTGCTACACTTTTTGTTTGCATCTATACTTTTTTTATCTATAATAGTTTTTGTTATAGTAACTGACTAAAATACTATGAATTTCCTAGATGAAACTGACAATTTAGAATAATCGAAAAGAATTTTTTTTTTAGAAAAACAACCGTCTTACATGGTTACATCATAATTTTGTAAATAATATCCACACAAAAAAATCATCTAAAAATACTTGTGGTGATTAAGCATACATGTGTTTTTGTCAAAAGTGTAGTATCAGTTGTAGAGAGATTAGAGATATGAAAACTGGCATATATCCATACAAATAATTTCTCACATGCAACAATAAGTTCTCACTCTTTTTATTTATTTTAGAACTCTTTTACAAAAGTTGGTTAAAATCACATACATAATTTTATTTTTCAATTTTTCCTCACCACTATAAATATGTAACATATGAACCATTTTCATGGACGAGCTTCACTTTCAAATCTCAACCTCTTTTCACGATGCCTTCCTCCTCCATCTCCCTTATCCACCACGCAACTGCCATCTCCGCCTTGCTCCTCCTCCTATCCACCATCTCCTCCGCCAGCCTCCAACGACGTCCATTCAACAGAATCTACGCCTTCGGCGACTCTTTCACCGACACAGGAAACTCACGCTCCGGCGAAGGCCCCGCCGGATTCGGACACTTGTCAAGCTCTCCTTACGGCATGACTTACTTCAAACGTCCGACGAACCGTTACTCCGACGGGCGGCTCACCATCGATTTCGTGGCGCAGTCCATGAACTTACCGTTTCTTCCACCGTATCGCAGCCTGAGGAACACTAACGGTGGTAACGGCACGGCTACGGATACTCACGGCGTTAACTTCGCCGTCTCTGGAGCGACGGTGATTAAACACGCTTTCTTTGTGGAGAATAATGTGACGCTTGATATGACTCCTCAGTCTATAGAGACGGAGCTTGGCTGGTTCGAAGAGTATTTGGAGACACTTGGAACGAAGCAGAAGGTTTCGTCGTTTAAGGATTCTCTGTTTTGGATTGGAGAAATTGGAGTTAACGACTATGCTTACACCGTATGGTCTACTGTATCAAGCGACACCATTAGAGAACTTAGTATTTCAACCTACACAAGGTTTTTGGAGGTAAAAAAATTATGTCAAATAGTGGTTTGATTCGGTTTAACTAAACCGATTGGTCTTTAATTTGAAAGATATATGATTTAGAATGTGCATATCTTGCAAGTCATGGTACCGAAGTGATCTAACAGTTTAGTCATGCTTATGTGCCTTTAGCTATAACATCAAGAGTTCATGCGTATGTATGATTAAATGACCGGTTTAGTTTGGTTTACAAATTTAACACACTAATAGTGATTAAACCGAAATAAATTAGTTTTAAACATTTACAACTTGAGAGCCTATGGTAATTGATTTGCAATAGGGTGTGCAATAATATAGTGGATCTACATTTGATTTGAATTTAAGATTTTCAAATTACAAGAACCAAGTCTATAGATGCATATACATGGCATATTTTATTTGATTGGGATAAACGGAATTATCTTCAATGTTTGCTAAGCTTGTAGACCAGGCTGGCATATAACTTAACCGAAACATGGAAAGAAAACGTCTGGTGGTCATGAACCTAACCAACCCGTTTGGTTTGGATTGATTCTCTTATGTTTGGTTTATAGGTTTATAACCTTTTTTAGTTGTAATTGCAGACATTATTGAAGAAAGGTGCGAGACATATGGTTGTACAAGGACATCCGGCTACTGGATGCTTGACGTTAACCATGTCTCTTGCTGCAGAAGACGATCGAGACAGTCTAGGATGTGTACAGAGTATCAATAACCAGAGTTACACTCACAATCTTGCACTGCAATACAAACTTAAACAACTTAGGTCAGTTTATATAATTGATTATACATGTGGCTTAACAAAGAGAATTTACTAAACCAACTCTACCATCATAAATGTTGCTTCTGCTGGTTTAATAAAGTGCCATTGTTAATATTTTTTTATATAAAATGTAGGATCAAGTATCCGAACGCCACAATAGTCTACGCAGACTATTGGAACGCGTACCGTACGGTTATAAAGAACCCTAGCAAGTACGGCATCTCCGAGAAGTTCAAGGCGTGCTGTGGAGTCGGCGAGCCGTACAACTTCCAAGTGTTCGAAACGTGTGGGTCGGCTTCAGCCACGGCGTGTAAGGACCCGAGTCGGTACATTAACTGGGACGGAGTCCACTTAACTGAGGGCATGTATAAGGTTATGGCGGATATGTTTCTCCGCGGCAGTTTCACTCGACCTAGGTTTGGTTACTTGCTGAACAAGAAACTGAACGGTTTATGATAAAAGGTTTTATCGACTTCCATATATGATTGTATGGTTTGGAGTTTTGACATTGTAAAACCAATGATGTTGGACAAAGGCATTATAGTTTATATATAATCAATCAAATTTGATGAGACATGAAACAAAATTAGCTTTCATTTATTCCGATTTTATGTATAGAAAAACCAAATTACAAGCTATGATCATAAAAAGTAACCATATAGCTTTTAATAAAGAACATGAGAACAACGCGATTAAGCATACACTTAAGCTAGTAGAATAGCATTTGAAGCTAAAGAAGGACTGCGTTTCAACCATTTACAAAAACAAGGACTTCGTTTCAAAAAAAAAAAAGAGACGAAAAGCGAAAACCAGAGTAAGGATTCTTGTCAATTGGTACTTGTCCACCATGACCATGACTTTTTTTATAACTAACCATAGTTCGTTGCAATTTCATAACTTTTTGAAATAGTTTTACTGGCCTTCTACTTCTACAGCCTCAAATCTTCAAAATTTATTTTTTCAAACGAGTAAATAATAAAAGTAAAAGATATTTTCCGGTATTTCGAAATTGAATTATGTATGACATGCAACACCATTGGTAAAAAAAAATCACTAAATTACATGCCCTGATCGATCAAATATCGTTTTATTTTGTTATCTAAGAAAGTTTGATTTAGTTTCCTAAAAACATAATGAGATTGAAAAGGCTTCACTGTTAAGTTAGATACACATAAAATCAAGAGGAAATTACTAGAATGATACACAAAAGTTGGTATATGACTAGAATAGTATACATTTTCTAAAAATTACTAGAATGTTTTTAGACTCCTAGTAAATTACAATAAACACCCTTGTTTAATTTTGTTACTATTAATATAAATTTTAATTATTAAATCCACATCATAATTTGATAATCCACGTCACTAATTTATGTCATNCCTAACCGTCTCCGATATCATCTTCGTCGACATCCTCTTCTCCGCAAAAGTTTCGACGTAATCGTATCTACGACATCATCTTCTCATCTTCTCTGGTATGTTGTGTCTGAGTTTGATTTACGACGTGTCTGAGTTATAGATTATGTTGTTACTGAGTTATTGTATAGTGTGGCTGAGTTGAGTTTGATTTATGAAGTGGTTGAGTTGTTGATTATGATCCGACTGAGTTATTGATTATGTTTTGGCTGAGTTAGTGATTACTCTGGCTGAGTTATATATTATGTTGTGGCTGAGTTATTTATTATTATGATTTGGCTGAGTTATTGATTATGTTTTGGCTGAGTTATTGATATGGTGGCTGGGTTATTTATTATGTTGTTGCTGAGTTTTGTTTCTATTGCGGCTGATTTATCTATATATGTGTTTTAGGATCAGATGGCTATTTCTGAAGATCAAGCACGGGATTATCCTCCACGACTTTACGGTGAAGGGGCTTCTAATCTAGAAAATAAAGAGATTAATCACAATTTGCAGATGGGAGATTTCCCTAACGTCAGAGAAGCAATAGGACGGGATGTGTGGGATCACATGAGGCAGGGTCCTCTTGGAATTATTGTGAAGCTAGCTGAACGCAAAAGCGTGTGGTCTGGTAGGACTGTCCACTATCTTCTATGTCGACAGCTT